AGGGTTTGTGGGCTATCTTTCATAGTGTTTGTGGGCTATCTTTTATAGGGTTTGTGGGCTATCTTTCATAGGGTTTGTGGGCTATCTTTCATAGGGTTTGTGGACCATATTCCTTTTTATCCATAAGGCTACATCAGTTTATACAATGTTCATGTACGACGAAACGCAGGCGGAATGTGAACAATTCCCATTACTGTCGCAGGTGGATTCATATGGGGTTTGCCCCCAATTTGGGTTGTGTACCATATTAATAGTAGAACAAGATAGGACAATATATGATTATGTTGTAGGGTTCCATGAATGTAATCGAATCGACAGTGTTTTTCGCTCTATACACAGAATGTATAGCTTGGAAGACTTCACGTTAACTCAAGGTGAATCAATGATTTGATAGACCCAATCATATGTGCTACACACACACACACACACACACACGTACACGCATATGTATATATATTCATAAATACACACACACACACACACACACACACACACATATATATATACCTGAGGACTGAGGTATACCTGCACACAGACACAGACATCAACATACTACACGAATGTTAATACCCCTCACGAGGTATTGAGCACATGTATAAACACACATACACCCGTACAACTCATGCCTACATAACAAGCACGTCCTCTAACACACACCTCGTGTAGCGCTCCTCCCACGTCTCCGCACGCCCCTCCAACACGCCTATCTGCTGCTGCAGTGTGTCCTTCTCCTTGTTGCTCTTCTCAATAGTCTCTCTGAGCATTTGGATCTCCGCTGTTTGCGACTGGCATACGCTTTCGTAGTTGTTGACCTTGCTATTACTCTCCTGTAGCTCTCTGGGTGTCCAGATGTGTGTGTGTGTGTTGTGTGAGTGGATGATGGATCATCCAGGCATGTGTATATAATGCGTAAGTGTATACCTGTGTGTGTGCGCATATGCATGTGTGTGTATGTGTGTGTGCAAGGGATGTCCGCGCACAAGGGTCACTTAGGGTTGCCACACGTTCAGAGTTATCTGGTTGTTATTGCTTTCTTGCAACTGCCATTGTGTGCAAATGTGAGTGTAATACAAGTCTGCACAGAAACACTGCATGGAACAGAGTTCCATCATAGTAGTTGCTGCGACCACAGACACAGACACAGACAAAGACACAGACACAGACACAGACACAGACACAGACACAGACACAGACACATATATATATATACATATATATATATATACATACATACATACATACATAAATAGCATAGATAACATACACATACACACATACATACATGCACATGCGCACTCAAATACACATACACATACGCATACACATACAGAAGCAGATATGCATACATATACACATACATACGCACATATACACATAGCCACACAAATACACAAACACTTACACATACTCATATACATACACCCACACATACACACACCTTTTTAGGGCATTCTTCTCCTGCTCCGCAGCGTCATTCAGCTTATTTGATTGAGCGAGAGCAGCCTTGAGCGCGTCCATGTCCTGCCCCAGCAGCAGAGATACACTCTGCATGTCTGTGACTTCTCTTTGTTGGCTGGTTGGCGGATATGTATATAAACATCACACGTGTTATAGCCTCAAACAGCATGGTTTGGAGAAGATTGGTGAGAGAGGGTGTATTGGAGATAGACACAAACAACACACTCTGTATGCCTGTAAGTTGTATGTTTGTTTTACCACAATGTTGGCTGGACGGCATGTACAAAAATCATATAAACATAAACATAAACATAAACATGAGTACGCAATTTATCACCTACCACTCCATTCTCACTATATGAACTTAGTCACTGGTGAAATAATTATAGCTGAAGCTAGAAGGTGCGACATACGATTAAGAGCCTAAAACGCAACATTGTTTCTTGTATTGCCAATACAACACCCTCGTACAAATGGCCCTATCTCGTCAGTCTACGACAGCAATGTTGCATATTGGAGTGTCGGTTGAACCTACGACGTTAACTACAGTAGCTACCACGCACTGGATAGGTCCGTATGTTTGCTTTGTAGGTGCATGTATGGGTACCTGCCCTATAATCTGGGTGCAGTGTTTCTATTTGAGGCTAAGTACAGTAGCTACCACGCACTGATTAGGTCCGTATGTTCGCTTTGTAGGTGCATGTATGGGTACCTGTAGTATAAACTGGGTGAAGTGTTTCTATTTGAGGTTAAGTACAGTAGCTACCACGCACTGATTAGGTCCGTATGTTCGCTTTGTAGGTGCATGTATGGGTACCTGTAGTATAAACTGGGTGAAGTGTTTCTATTTGAGGTTAAGTACAGTAGCTATCACGCACTGATTAGGTCCGTATGTTCGCTTTGTAGGTGCATGTATGGGTACCTGTCCTATAATCTGGGTGCAGTGCTTCTATTTGAGGCTAAGTACAGTAGCTATCACGCACTGATTAGGTCCGTATGTTTGCTTTGTAGGTGCGTGTATGGGTACTTGTACTATAAACTGGATGCAGTGTTTCTATTGAGGTTATGTAGATTAGCTACCACGCACTGATTAGGTTCGTATGCTTGCTTTATTGGTGCATGTATGGGTACCTGGCCTATAATCTGGGTGCAGTGTTTCTATTTGAGACACCCACGTGCAAGAGTTAAGAGCGTGTGCGATCCGTATACTTAAGCCTGCAATGGGCCGGAGACAGAACCAATGACTCATAGTCGTTTAGTTTAGAAGGTTCGGTACTTATTTCAGGTTATGTACCCCTTCAACGTGCACACACCTTCTTAATACTTGCCAAAGCCCTACCTACAAACAGTACATGTGTTCTATATAGTCACAGACGCTTGAACCCCCCCCCCCCCCCCCCCGTACTAGCGTATATACCTTTCCCACATTCCTCTACAGCCTTGTACTTTTAAACGGTTTGCACTAACAGTCAGCTACTAAGCTCAGCCCCTCAACTCCGTCTGGGAACTAAGTTCCGCATATCAATAACGCCTATACCGTCTCCGCACGTCACATACACCCCTACACCAGTGAATGGCTCCTACATAGTGCACACACTTTCCAGTGTGAAGATACTTCTCGAATCCCTTATGTGTACTTGTTATAGTGTTGTCAGTACAAGTACACGTCTCGTATACCTCTGTATATCTGAAGTGCGGTACATACATACCTTTCCAGGATGCCCTTGAGCTCAGAGTTGAGCTCCTGCGCATCAGACAGCTGTTGCTCTGTGGTCAGCAATTGTCGTTCCGTCGTGTCGAGGTGCTTCACCCTACTTTTCAGGCCTTCCACCTGTCCCATACCAAAAAAAAGGGACCAGTGGAATGGCTTGAGTACACATTTCGTTCGGTATAGTACAAAACAGGAATAGGATTCGGGTACAAGTATGTATGCGTGATAACAAAAGTACATTGAATTCAATAAATGGGGGTGCATTCGCCATCGGGTTTGCGAAACCTTAACCCAGGTGGACTGCAACAGCAGCCCTTTCACACACACATGGGATCACAAGAGCTGGACAGTACGTACAACCACAGCTCATACGGACCATTTGGCCGCTACTATAGCCAGAGATGGGCAAGATTTATGAATTTATGAATTTATGGATTTAGGGATTTAGGGAATCAGAGATTTGAGATTTAAGAGATTTAGGTCTTGAGATTTAGGGGTTTAAAGATTTATAAAAAATTATAAAATTTAGGGATCGACAACGCCCCCAACGACACGTCTGGAACATCGCTTGTTCGCCAGCACAGCACCAGTACACACTAGATAGATATATAAATAGATAGATTGGTAGGTAGGTAGATAGATATATAGATAGATAGGTAGGTAGATAAATAGATAGATAGATAGGTAGATAAATAAATAGATAGATGGATAGATAAACAGATGGATAGATGGATGGATGGATAGATAGATATATAGATAGATAGATAGATAGATAGTGCCACATGCACAGAAGAATGGGTAGATATGGAACTAAATGCACAGAAGAATGGGTAGATATGGCACTAAATGCACAGAAGGATAGGCAGATGTGTCACTACATGCATAATGCACGTCGTGTCTGCATTTTACACCAGGTGTACCTGTCTCATTAACTATGGATGCCACATTACTTCCTGTAGATGCATGCCTACCGCTTCTGAGATATGTATATCAAGAAGAGAGAACAAGCTAACAAAGAGATACCATATTGCCACTTTTCCTCACAACCCCCCCCCTCACACATACATCCACAGCCCTACAGCCATCTATCTACCAGCCATAAACGTAGTGTCAATCGCTCTAGTGGTAACACACTTCCTGTGTTAACTTATAGCCATCTACCTACCAGCCATAAACGTAGCGTTAATCGCTCTAGTGGTAACACACCTCCTGTGGTAGTTTACAGCCATTTATCTACCAGCCATAAACGTAACGTTAATCGCTCTAGTGGTAACACACCTCCTGTGTTAGTTCGGATGCAGCCACCTGTACATTTTCGCGGTGCACCTTTTCTGTGTCGAGTCGGTCCAGGGTTTGTCTCAGTTGGGTTTTGATGGAGACGTTCATTGCCTCCGTGGCCTCTAACTTGTCCTTTAGTGCACGGTCGTTTTTCCTGTGTGGGATAGGGTTTAGAATTTTTAGAGGGTTTTAGGGGTTAGGGTTAATCTAGAGTGGTGTTGGGATTTCAGAGACAGTGGTCCGGCGTGGAGTCCAAAGTTTAGGGTTTGGGGTTTCTCTATAGTAAACGTGAGCGCCAGTTCAGATAAAAACAGTATCTTCTGACACAGCACAACTGGTTCACACACCGGAGAGTATAACATACGTTAGCTTACCACTTCATGTACAAATACAATGCATATCATTTCCTTACTTACAGCGGCTTACCACTTCATGTACAAATACAATGCTTATTCGTTTCCTTACTTACATACGTTAACCTACCACTTTATGACCATTACAACGCATATCATTCCCTTACTTACATGCGTTAGCTTACCACTTCATATACAATTATCCATACATACATACGTTAGCTTATCACTTCATGTACGATTACACTGAATAACATTTCCTTACCTACATACGTTAGCTTACCACTTCATGTACAATTACAATGCATATCATTCCCCTACTTACATACGTTCGCATACCACTTCATGCTTAACTACAATGCATAACATTTCCTTACATACATATGTTAGCATATCACTTTATGTACGATTACAACGCTTATTCATTCCCTTACTTACATACATACGTTAGCTTACCACTTCATGTACAATTACAATGCTTATTCATTTCCTTACATACGTTAGCTGACCACTTCATGTACAATTACAATGCTTATTCATTTCCTTACTTACATACGATAACCTACCACTTCATGTACCATTACAACGCATATCATTCCCTTACTTACATGCGTTAGCTTACCACTTCATGTACAATTATGATGCGTATCATTTCCTTACATACATACGTTAGCTTACCACGTCATGTACAATTACAATGCATATCATTCCCCTACTTACATACGTTAGCTTACCATTTCATGTACAATTACAATGTATATCATTCCCCTACTTACATACGTTAGCTTACACTTCATGTACAACTACAATGCATATCATTCCCCTACTTAAATACGTTAGCTTACCACTTCATGTACAATTACAGCGCATATCATTCCTTACTTATAGGCCATCAACTGGGCCTTAATCCCCATTAAATCTTGATTCGATTGTGCTAGCTGCTCCTGCGCGGTGGCCAGCTCTTCTCTCGCAGTGGACAGTTCAGCGCTGGCGTTCGCCTGCTCACACGTGGTACCATAAAATGAGACAAAACCAGTGTCAAAAGTATGTAAGATGGTACAAACCAGAAAATGAGGCAAAACCAGTGCCAAAGGTATGTAAGATGGTACAAACCAGAAAATGAGGCAAAACCGTAACAAAGGTATGTAAGATGGTAAAAACCAAGAAATGAGGCAAAACCAGTGACAAAGGTATACAAGATGGTATTTATACGGTCAGTGCACACACACCGCTGTGTCGATAGGCATAGTCGAGATAAGCCGTGACACAAGAGGACGCCCCAGTGATACGAAAGGATTAATGAGACAACAGTGCAGCTGTAGCACGAGACACATAAGACACAGCATAGCAGTAGCAACAGTCCAAGACGACACAGCGTAGTTGTAACAAGAGCTCAATAAGAGATGGCGTAGCTGTAGCACGAGATACATTAGACAGCATAGCAGTAGCAACAGTCAAGACGACGCAGCGTAGTTGTAACAAGAGCTCAATAAGTGATGGCGTGGCTGTAGCACGAGATACATAAGACACAGCATAGCAGTATTAACAGTCCAAGACGACACAGCGTAGTTGTATAAAGAGCTCAATAAGAGATGGCGTAGCTGTAGCACGAGACACATAAGACACCGCATAGCAGTAGCAACAGTCACATAAGACAGCGGGGAGTGGTCTGGGCAACAATGCGCGCTGACAAATGCGTGCGCACGTGATACGGAGGTGCGTATATACATTTGCATCGAGCTTTCCTCTCATAGACACCATCCGCTGTTTAAAGCCTGCGGTGGGGGGGGATGAACCAAAGCCGTGTGAGAGGGGTTGGAATGGTATACGTTCTATGGATACGAATTATCGATATGCCCATGACAGTACGCTACAACAGCCAGATGACATGGCACATGAGTACACGAGATGTGAACCGTACCACAGCCAGATGACAAGACCTACGTGAATGCATGCACCAGAAGAATGCAACAAAGGCCACTTCACAGCAATAGCGAGTGAGTGAGAGAGAGAGAGAGAGAGAGAGAGAGAGACAGAGACAGTGTGTGTGTGTTCTCGAGGCCCTGTGAGCTGGGAGAGGGAACGTGCAGGTATGGTTAATGCAGTTATCAAGAGTATGTGCACCTGCGCGCTCCCTGAAGTCTGCGGTGAGAGGGCGCATGGGGGCTGGACAAGCACCGCAGCCCAGAAAAAAATGGACCCATTGAGGACATTTTAAGGTCAGTGGAAAGACGGGATTGATACGGACATGGTACAGTCACCTTTGGGAGAATGCACACACATGCGTTATGGGGTGATAACTACCAGCTTACATAACGCTCATTGATTGACGTGAGGGTATAGGAGGCTTGTGTAGGGCACAAGGCCCACGAGGATGACCATAGATGAAGGATATCCACAGCGGAAGAACTCTATATGTATGCATATATGAATATATATAGATGATATATGTATGCATATAT